CGCCCAGCCGTTGTTGCCCGCGGAGGGGGTGGGTAGGTGGGGGGAACGGTCCTATCTCTCGGTCAGCTTAACGAAGGAGGGGGGGGAATCAAGACGAGGAGATAAGGCTCTGGTTGGGTCGTCGCTTTTGCAGCGCTCCAGTAGCTTTTATATTTGAAGCCATCGTGGCAAGTTGCCTTCTCGATTTCGGTCTTTGCATCGCCTTGCGGAGGAAATGTCTCCCCAGTTGAATTTGGGGCCACAAAAGAGCCGCGCGTCAGTAAAGTTCGCAGGATCGCCACCCCCGGGGTGTCTTTCTGAGGCGTGGGGCGCGCCTGGTGAGGCACCAGAAACTGTTTCAGGATGGACCCTTAGGCTCCAGGGTGTTGACGCAAGCCTTCAGTGGCCCCTCACAACTGATGCAAGTGGGTCTGTTCCAGCTGGGGCAAGCAACAGAAGCTGTTTTTTAAAGTTTGCTTAACCTCACCTAACGAGTCCTGCGTTCCATACCATGATCGTCCGAATCTCCTGTTACACGTGTTGGAAAAAAGGAGGAAGGTGGGTAGGGAAAATTTCTGCTGCTGAAGCTGTCAGTACAATACGGTCACAGAAGAGGCTAAGGCAAGAGTAGCTGATTTAATTCACAGGAAAGGCTTTTGCGTAGAGACTTTTAGGGCGGGTAACCATTTCATATGAATGTTTTTCTAAGAAAGGAGGCCCCTGGAATTCAGTTTCACCATGCCTTGAGATTGAACTTCAAGAACTCATGTTAAAAGTTCCAGAGAGATTGTTTTCTCTTCACACATATGGCTAAACGTTGTTTATGGCAGTCAGTTCCATGTCACCTTCCTTCTTTCCTATAAGGCTGACAGTAGCCATTGCATTTCAGCTTATTCAGACTTTCCCACTTAAGGTCAGAAACCAAAGACCCTTGGTTCTAACTTCCTGTTTGCCATAGAGGTTGCCAATTATGAAGCAAGGAATTATTAGTATTAGTATTTATTTGATTTATATACAGCCAAGGCCGCTCTGGGTGGTTTTTACAAGAAGTAGCATAAAACAAAAAAGTAACAAAATAGCAAATAACAACATCAATACATGGGGGGGGAATCAAAAGTCAGAAAGTGCAGCGAGAATAAAATTACAATACAATACATACTGTTAAAAGTGTAGAAAAACATAAGAACATGGCAGTATGATAGAAGTTATGTTGTCAGGCACTATTGTAGCAGAGTGTAGTTTGTTCAAGGAAGGCCTGTCTAAATAACCAGGTTTTGAGTAGCTTTTTGAATGTGCCTAGTGAAGGGGCCAGGTGGGCTTTGCATAGTTGTGGCCCTACTGCCGAGAAGGCCCAATTTCTAGTGGTGGTTTTCCAGGCCTCTCTCGGGGTCAGAACTCTCAGCCGCCCTGCCTATGATGATCTTATAGGATGGCGACACCTAAGTGGAAGGAGGTGCTCGGCCAAACAGAAGAAGTAGCATGGGGGATGCAGTGGGCCCATGTCTCCCCAACAATAGCTGCTGTTGCATCTAGACTGCAAGGCTTGTCATAAGGCCATAGGTCATTCTTCTACCACTGCTTCGCAAGAAAGCTGGCAACAGGTTATGACCATGGCTGGAATTTTTCTTTGTCTTCAGTCCAATAAGGAAGAGCAGAAACAGTGCTTGAGCCCTAAAATGGTATGTTGACTTTTTAAGATGGGTCCAGGATAAGTGTGACTGCATTCTTCTCAAGCTGGAAAAAAACCCCAATCTTTTAGTACTGTGTCTCCCTGCTGTGATAATGTCTCCCCTGTTGACATAATGACAAAAGTAAAGCATCCTTAAATAAGATAAGTATTTAAGACACTAAGCATAGGAGTTGAACAGTCTTTGTGAAAGTGCCCTGAAGATCAAGGTGAAGTCTGTAGGAAGGGAACTGGGATCACTGGAGAAGAGAACAAAGTTGCTGCCTAGGCAAAATGCATAACTGTCATGGCTGCACTGCATCAGTTCTTAGTAAGGATGAACCAGAACTCACCAAATCTGATAAGGGGAAAGAATGCCTGGGTCCTGCAGACACTGTAGTCACCTTGGGAGAAAGCTCTTCCTCCCTAAGGGACTAGCAAGCTAAATGCTGCAGCTGAGTTATTTTCCCAGCCATCCAACGACCTGCAGCTCACTTCTGGGTGAGACTCCAGAAGATACATTACATAAACCTTAGTCTGGGAGTGGGACTTGAGAGTCATCTCTTCATGCTCCGCTCTCAACCTGCTAACTGTTGTCTTCCTCCTGCTGACTCCTTGCTGTGTATTACTTTTAGACTACTTTGACTGTTTGTTTTCTGATACTATCTTGATTTTTTTATTGCTCTTGGAGACTTTGCCTTTGGTTTTCTTGTATTATTCAGGTTCTCTAGACCTCTGCATTGCTTTTATCCTAATTCTAGACTTGTTTGGCTAGGCCTGTTCTGTCTTAGCCTGCCAAGATTGTTGCCTTTGGGCCAGCCCATCAGGAAGTAGGACATTAACATGAGGGTGAGAAGTCAAAAGCAGCTGGTCTGATTTTGAAATTACTGACAATAAAGAAAACTGTTCCTTAAGGTGATGGGTTTAAGGCCTGTTTCTGTGCCTGCTTATAAAGACAGGAGGATCTTAACTACTCCTCTGGTTGAGACTTGGATCTGCACCATGTAGAAGATGTTTTCCACATCAACTCATAGATTAAATTTTATGAATGGCCAGCCTGATGCCAACAGTATTGACTACTCATGGCAGATATCCTGAGGCTACAAAGGACTTGCTCGGCTTTTGTGCTGGTAATTTGAATTAATCCAGATGAGACTGCATAACTGTACTCTGGGGCAAGAGATTGCAGATCTCTGGGAGAAATGATTGTCCTACCTTGGTCATACTGGTTTCCAGAAAACAGAGCTCCTGGGGGTTTCAAGACGAAACCACGAACATTGTTGCTCATTCTCCTCTTATTTTTCAGAGCATCATTTAACAAAAGATATAGTGTAGGCCTCTGGAACCAGAAACAGAAGTGGGTCATCTTGTTGGGAGCAAAGAAGTCCACTTAGAGAGGACAAAACATCTTCTGTAAATTGAGGACTTCTGGTTTCAAGACTCATTTGACCAGGCTGAGTGCTGACGATTCATGTGGTCTGCTCTTACAACAAATGAGATTGCTCCTTATTAGCCAGTAGTGGCGTTTGAAAAACAGAGGAGATAGTAGTCACAAGAAAATTTATTCTAGGCTTTAAGAATAAATTTAAAAATCACTATGCAAGACAATATCCACGTAAATATTCTTAACAAATTGTAGTGTGAAATTGCAAAAACATGTTTCATGTTCTGAAGAACACATCCTGCCCTAGAAGACTAAAAAGTAGCCCGTGTAATCTAAAATTTTAAATAAGAGACTGAAAGAAGTCGAGAAAATTGCAGGCCAGTTAGCTTAATGTGTGATAGTTAAATTGGCTAAATTAAATGTATAGATGAGCAAGACATCTCAAAGAAACACTGCAATAACTTTTGCAAAGGAAAGTTTTGTCTCATTAAAGCTTAGCACTCTTTTAAGTTAAAAAACACATGATGGAGGTTGTCCATTACTATTGGACTAGGACTGGAGAGACACATTCAACTCCGTCTCAGGCATGAAACTCAACAGTGTCTTGGGGAAGACACTCTTCCTCTGTTTCCTCTATTACACATAGCTATTATAAAGATAAAAGTGGGGGGAAGCCCTTGAACTCCTAGGAAGAAAAATGGGATTTCCCAAATTTTCAATAGGTGTGTCACTAAACATTATGTCTAGCTGCCATAGGATAGGAGAACATGCCATCTAATGAGTTGTAATTGGTTCAAGAACACTTACAGAATAAGAATACTTTTCACAGTAGAGGAATGTAAAAAAGTGGAAATCCTCCAAGAACCTGAATTTATATTCAGACAAGTACTTTAAAATTTGTTTCTGCATAACACCAGATTACAGGCGAGCAATGAAATGGCTTAAGTTTTCTAACGATACTCTGCTCAGTAGTCAAAATAAAAAGGAGCTTCAGAAACATTTGAAAGAATCTACCAAAAAAGGATGAAGGAACACCGAAGTGGCTAATGTGGTTCATGATCCAAAAATGGTATTATAAAACTGGAAAAGATGCAGAAACAGGTAACCGAAGTAATGTTGGGACTGAAAGACTTCTCACAAGAGAAAGGTTACACTGGGGACTTAGTTAAGACAAAATAAATAAGGAAGACATAAATGTTGGTAAAATTATAAGTGTAGATAAGACATTCTTCTCAAAATAATTTGTACTGTACTAAAATTCTTTTTTAATGAAACTAAATGGTTGGAGATTAACTTTGTTCTTGTAATGCATTATAATTCAGTACTACTGAGGGCAAACTCAGATGGCTTTAGAAGAGAATTAAGCTAATAACGGATAATGTGATCAATGGCTACTAGTTGTTAAGACTCCATGTTACATCTAAGGCACCTACTGGAGAACATAAGGCTATTGCTCATGTCTTGCTTGTAGGCCTCATGTGGCATCTATCAGCTGTGAGGAACAGGATGCTGGATTATATAAACATTTGGGCCTGATTCAGCAGATACCACCTTTGCTTATCAACATTGCTTAGACTGTGCCAGTGCTGCGATCATTAGATCAAGAGTGTACTTTTTATATGAAGATCCTTGGCAAGATAGCATTGACTTCAGGAATTATAAGAAAGCATCTCTGTGTTCAAAATAGTACAGGTAACTTTGCAGTCACATCTCCAAGCAAAGAAACATTTGCCACAAATAGTATTTAATACTCTGGGGGAAACAGTCCAGTCTACCGATTATAACATATACCAGCTTTGTTCCAACCTTTGCGCTTTTTCCCATTGGTCTACCAAAGCCAATGGCTCTGAAAGATTTTCGTATCACATTAAAACAGCCACAC